GGCCCTGGCCAGCCAAACGCCTGCGGCCTCCCGCCCCGCCCCTGCGCACCTGCCTACCTTGCCTTCCCAGGGCCTTGCAGCCGGCTCCATGACCGGCCCCCTCCTGCCTCCACAGTCGAGACCAGGACCCCCACCCCTGAAGCTGGGGCCCTTGGTGAGCAGCTACCATCCAGAGCCCGAGGCCCGCCGGGTCTAAGGCAAAGTGTCATTGAGCGTGCCGGGGCCAACCCACGCCTGAGCCTCTTTCCTCTGTCTGGACAAAACAAGAAAGAGTCCTCTGCCCCCAGGGCCTGTGTGCTCAGACCTTCTAACTCCAGCCCCAGGCTGTCGCGGACTCTGTAGTGTAGGCCCGAACCCAACAGCGAGGCCCGGCTTCCCCTGGGGCCCCAGCGCGGGGTGCCCCAAGGGGGCGCTCCGACCTGCACGAGAAGGCCGCGCACGTCACCATGCCGGACGCCCAAGGAGTAGGCCCACCAGTCGCCCAACACGCCCAACAGGCCCTGTGCGAAACCTGGGGGCCCCACCTACACCCTTCCTGCATCCTTTCCGCCCCTGCCAGACAGCAGCACGGTGCCAGCCTGGCCCCTGGCCACCTCTGCGCGCCTTTCATGTTCCCCAAGTTTCTGCACGAGGCCCCCCATGGGCTGCCTGTCCTGTTACAGCCCCCAGCCTCCAGGGGACCAGGGATTTTCTGCAGCACAGGCAGGAGGGAAGCCAGGAGCATGGGGGGGCTGTGCCAAGCCCCTCTCCTTGCACCTCATTGGGCAGTGCTGTGGTGCCAGTGAGGGCCGTGGCCCTGCGGATCCTGAAAGGACACCGTGGAGCTAGACAAACAGGATGGCCTGAGTGCCCAGGGTCATTCCCGAGGTACAGGGGCCCGCCAAGGGCGTGGACGTAGAATCAACGCCCTCTGGCCCACCAACGACCCGTGCCGCACGAGCTGAGTTACGACCGCCGTACCCGAGCTTAGGGCGGATGGCCCACTGAGTCGGGCTGCGGCGGCGGGACACCTGCTCCTGGCAGGCAACTATCTTTTTAACATGTCCATACGAGCCCAATCTTTTTTTTTTGTTCTTTTTTTTTTCTGAGGCCAGGATCTCACTCTTTTTGCCCATGCTGAAGTACAGACGGCACCATCCAGGCCCGCCTCCTCGACTGGCCAGGCCGTCTGAGTGTTGGTCCTCCCAGGTCAAGCCCTGCAGGGGCTTCCGGGCCCTCAGGGTCACAGAGCCCAGCCCTGCAGTGTTAGGTGGCCCCATGATGCGGGCCTGGGTGGGTGGGATTCCAGCCCAGCTCCCTGAGCCTGCCAGGCCATTGGGAGGCGTCATCAGAACCCCATTTACAGAGAGGGCAGCAGACTCAGCTTTCAGGGTTGGCCCAAGGATTGCCAGAGTGGGGAGCCCCGAAGATGTCCTCAAAACCCCAGGGCTTCCAGGGCCCACAGGGCACCACTGCGTGTTTTCTGTCTGGCTTTGGGCACTTGTAAGTTCCTCCCAAGCTCTCCCAGCATCTTGTGAACTCCTGGTTCCTGTTGGGCCCCCGTGGTCCCCACTGCAGCCTGAGAAGCAGCCCTGCGCCTGGCTTCCCAGCCACATGGACCCTTAGAGGCAGGAAGCTGGGGGTGGGACCACCTGCCCCTGGGTAGACACGCAGCTTCTGACAGAGGCTGGGTCCCCTCCCCAAGGCCTGATGTGGGAGCTGGGCACCTGGCGGCCAATTCCTTCACAGGGCTGGGAGGTAGCAGCTAGGAGGCAGGCCCCAGGAGTGCCCAGGGCGAAGCCAGCGTCGTCCAGCCGGGCTGCAGGGTGGGCAGGGGAAGGGAGTTTGGTGTCAGGTGCCAGGGTTGAGTCCAGACCTTCCTGGTCTTGCTGCAATCTGGGTCTCTTGCCTTGCCTGGGCTGAACTTATTTTCCCTGCAAAACAGACGCTAGGTCTTATCTGTGCGGGGTGGTAGGGGAGCCTGAGAGGTATGGGTGGGCCCTGGACCGCCCCTCTCGCCTCTGTGCTATCAAGGACCATTTCATCTGCAGAAGACCTGACCGGTGGGACCGGCCAGATGGGGCTGCGGGCTCCTTGGGTCTCCGTCCTCACACCTGCCTCCTCTGCCTCACCCCGGTCCCCTTTTCCTCCTGCCTGGGCCCTGGCCCCTCAGAATCGGGGACTTCTCTGAGCCACCGGTCATTCCTGTGGCCACCACGTGGGAGCCAGCCCGGGTGAGCTGAGATGTATGATTGCCTCCCCTAGGGCCTGGCCTGCCCCGCACCTGAGCTGCCCTCGCCCCCCTCTGCAGGCTACAGCCCTGCAGGACAGAAGCCTGAGGCTGTCGTGCACGCCATGAAGGTAAGGGCCACTACCCGCTCCCTCAGGAGCCCCTGGATGCCGGGTGCGCCGCGAGACTGTGGGACCTTTGCACCCGGGGGCATCCAAGTGGCAGGGGTGGGGAGTTTCACCTGTGTGTGGGTGGCTGGGTGACCATGGCTGCCTGGAGCACCATGAAGGCAGAACTCAGAGGTGGCAGTCATAAGTGTGTCGCCTGTCTGCCATCCTTGAGCCACTGCAGCTAGCAAGACTGAGGCCTGGGGTCGGGGAGGGCAGGCACCCTACTAAGGCCAGAATGATAGGGGCAGGAATGGGGCTAGAAATAACCTCAGGTCTGCCAGGCCCAGCCTCTGCAGGTGCCGACGGGTGAGTCCGATGGGCTCTGGTTTCTCCAGGCTGTGCACACCTGAGCCCAGTCCTCACTCCCATGCCCCGCTTCCTCCTACGTACATGCCCCATGACATCCCACATGTGTGCATGGACACGCCCATGCCTACTCACACCCCCTCCACGTGGCGAGTGCCCACTCATCTCCAGCGGGCCCTGGGTTGTAGTGAGTCCACCTGAGGGTCTTCCCTGCCCCACCTGTCTCCTTCCTCCCAGATGGCCCAGCCATCAGCTGCTTCCCTTGCAGGGGCTTCCTTTGTAGGGCATCCACAGTGTCAGCAGGGTGAGAAGATGACCTACCCCTCAGTTTTTTCCACGCTTGTCACCAGGGGCCCAGCAGCTCAGGGTCCTCAGCTTTGGTGTGCAGCAGGGGAGGCTGAGGCCTAGGGGCCAAGTGACTTGCCCAAGGTCTGCCAGTGGCCTCTGCCCCTGACTCCAAGACCCATTCCCTTCAGGTCCTGGAGGTACATGAGAATCTGGACCGGCAGCTCCAGGACAGCTGCGAGGAGGACCTGAGTGAGAAGGAGAAGGCCATCGTTCGTGAGATGTGCAACGTGAGGCTTCCAGGGCTGGGGGGCAGAGGCTTGGCACTGGGAGTGCGACCAGGGCCACCCAGCATGGCCATGCCCTTCCCCATGTGGGACTCCATTTCTCGAATGCTCAGCGAGGGCTGAGTGGCCTTGGATGGCTGAGGGGAGGCCTCGGAGGCACTGAGAGCCCCGGCTGGTCGTCACCTCACTGCCCCCTGCCCTTCCCAGAGGGCCTGTGGTGTCTGCAGATCTGCCCTCCCCATGAGGGGCTCTGGACAGAGCCTGAGCCCCCCACCCCGTGGGGTTGGTTTGTTCACCCCAGGTGTTCCCTGGGTGCTGGCCCCTGGGCCTCCCAGCTTGCTGGTGCCCCCCGTGGCTGCTGGCTGGGCAGGTGGTGCTCAGAGCAGGAGGTCCAGGTGGAAGCCCTCAGTCCACCAGGCTGGGGCCGCCCAGAAGAGCCCCGTGCCTGACCCAGCTGAGCACCATCAGTGGTCTCCTTGGGTGCTTGCAGGAGCCATCGGGGAAGGAGTTTCATAGGGTCTGAACCCGGGGCTTAAAGGGGGGCGAGGGGCTCCGAACTGTGCAGCCCCTCCCCCACATCACCTAGTGGGGCTCATGGACCCCACTGGACAGCTGCAAGCCTGAGCCACACCCCAGCAATGACCTGCTCAGGCCCGATAGCGGGCATGCAAAGACCTGATGTGGGTGTCTCTGGGCCTGCAGTGGCCTCGGCGTCCCTCCTGGCCCCATGGCTCTGAGGTCGTGGGTGATTCTGCTGTGATGAGGCGGCGGACGCACACAGCCGGCAGGTGGACGCAGGTGAGGCCACCACTCACAGCTCTGTCCTCTCCACAGGTGGTCTGGAGAAAGCTGGGAGATGCAGCCAGCTCCAAGCCCTCCATACGGCAGCACCTGTCTGGGAACCAGTTCAAGGGGCCTTTGTAGGGCCACTCTTCTGTGGACGTGGACTGGCCCTGCTGGGAGTCTCCAGGGGGAGTTTCAGGCCCCAGACACGGGCAGGACCTCCAGTCCAGCCCTTGTCTTCTTTCTCTGTGGTGAACTGTACATAGGACGCTGCCCGCCCTGGCCCAGCTGCCATGGCTCCGATGCACTGGCCCAAGCCGCCATCTCCCGCCTCACACACCAGCAACCTGGGAAGGAGACGCCGCGGCCGTTCCTGCAGCAGAGCAGCCCGGACGCCTCGTTCCCTCTCTGGGCCCCGAGCCCTGAGCCCCATGAGCAGGAGGCTGCTTCTGAGATCCAGCCTGGGGACTGTCCAGGCTCCTGTGTCCCGCCTGGGATGGAGGGGCCACTCATCAAACCCCCTACTCCCCGGCTGCCACCCACACTGGACGGACAGCACCGCTACCTGGGTCTTGACACAGGTGGTACCACTTCTCGCCCACGTGCCGTGGCCTGGCCCACCAAGCACTGGGTCCCCGGCACGTGGACAAGGCCGTTCACCATGTCTGTGGCTGGCTGGAGGCTGCCCTGGGCCCTTCCTGTGACCCCGTATCTGGAGCTCAGGGTGCCCTCACCCCTGGGGATCTGCACCCAGCCACCCAATGCCTGCTGCTCCTTGCTTTTGGAGGTCATCCCCCTCTCCCCCAGTCTCTGCAATGTCCCCCTGCCACCCTGTCCAGGCTATGCCCTTTTTGGGGCACGTCCCTATTTGTGGTTTACATGACAGGCCAGTAACATAGGAAGGGCCTGGGGAGAGTTTCTGGGCTGAGCCATATGTGATTTTCCTGATGGGCAGCACTGGGCCACAGCTGGGGCTCTGGTTGGCTGTGACCTCCCCCAGGGCCTGGCTGCATCTCGGGTCCCTGTGGACAGAGCTCTCCGGGCTGCAGATGAGAGTTCTGTTCTTTTTGGGAAGGAGGGGGTCTGGTCAGGTTCTGCCTTTAGTTTGTGGTGTGACCTTTAGCAGTTCACTCAGCCTCTCTGGGATCTTGGTGGAAACAGGGCTCTGAGGTTCCTTTCAGCCATGCTTATGGCTTCAGGTCATCCGGCACACACAGGGCAGGGGTCCTCACTGGGGGGGTGTGAGCCGACAGCTGACCTGCTGGAGAGGCCAGAGGGCGGCCGGACGGAGCTGAGTCCCGCTGCCTTGCCGTCGCTGCGGGTGGACAGTTGCCTCCCTACTCTGAGCCCGTGTTCTCCGTTGTAAAATCGGCAGCAGAAGGCCCTCCTCACAGGATTCTGGGATCAAGTGAGATCTTCCGTGTAAATGACCATGTACAAACTGTAAAGTGCAATAGAAAATGTGGTGTGTGAGGAAAATAAGGCCGAGGGGGTGATGTGTGGCACATGACGGGAGATCCCAGAGCCGCAGTGCGGGGACAGGCGCTTCCCCATATCTGCTCGTGCCGCTGTAAGCAGCCCTGGCTCTTGAGTCCAGGACCTCACAAGGTCCTCATTAGACTCCTGTGGTCTTCCAGCAGGTGCTCAGAACCCCACCCGAAGAGCCCAGGGAGGCTGTGGTCCTACCCAGCAGGTCTCACACAGGCCCACGGCTGGGGATGCAGGCAGGAGGAGGGAGGTGGCTGCCCTGCCCCTCTCCTGAGCTGGCGGCTCTATCCTGAGCAGTTCTCGCGGCCTGTTTGCTCTCAGGGGAAAGGCTCACGCCCCCCATCTTAGCCCCAGGGCTGTAAGTGGGTGCTGGTGATGGGATGGTGTGGCGCTCCTGCTGTGGGTGCTGGTGATGGGATGGTGTGGCGCTCCTGCTGTGGGTGTCGCCAGGAGGCTCTTTGGATTCTTTGGGAAGGGGTGTCACCTGGTCAGGTGGTACGCTCCCCGGTCACTAGCGGTATACACGGGAAGTGGGGTGAACACCTGCTGCTCATGGTACCGAGTGATTCTTGCCCGAGTGGGCAGCTGGGCAGACGCCCTTCTGGGTCTTGGAGTCCAAAGAACTGCAGAGTAGCCCAAGGGGTGTGGGTCAGTTTTGAGTGGGAGCCAAGTCTGGGAGCCCGTGTGCATCATGTTTGGGTCAGGTTGGCTTGGCCACCACTGAAATAAGCAATAAGTCCGGGCTCCTGGTACCTGCGGATCTCCTGCAGACAGGCCCAGAGAACAGCCTTGAAGCCACCTTTCCCCTCACGGGGACTGACCCTGTCTTTAATGCTGCAGTGGCATCCAGGATCAGTGGAATGTTGCTTTGAGAACCCTCCTGCCTGTTACAGAGGCAGCACAAAGCTGGTGCCCCCTGGGCCAACACGGCACTGGGATGGCTTTCTAGGACAGAACTCTGTTGGTGACAGTCACATCTCAAACTAATAGCTGATTTTAAAAGCCAGCAGCAGCGACGCCACGTACTTGAATACAGGTGGCAGTTGCAGAGCCGTGGGCTGTAGAGGGTCAGATGGGCCTTCCCACAGGGGAACCCTGGGGGCGCTGCAGCTCAGGGTGACTCCCGGCTCTGTCACTAGCAGGGAGGGCAACCCCTTCCTTCTGGAGCCTTAGCTCTGAAAGCCCCCAGCGGGGGTGCCCTTTCAGATGCCCCCTTTCCATTTCGAAGGCTCTGATGCTTGATCTTGAAGCCAGACGCGGCACTGGCACTCGGCTTCCGTTTCCACTGTGACAGACGGAGGTCTCCTTTCTAGCCCCAGCCCAGCGGCCAAGCCCATCCTGGCCTTAGAACATGCTGAGCACATTTTGTAGGGTGGCACCTTTCTATCCAAGTTACTAGCTACACGTCAGTGTTTAAAGAGAAAAAAGTGACCTTTCATTTTTTTTTCTTGAAACTTGAGGAAACAAGATACATACTACTGATTTTTTTTTTTCCTTAAAGAAAACTAAATGCATGACTGCAGAGCGGTAGAGGTGTATATTTTTCATACCGTGGGGGGAAAGTATTTGTGCTGCTTTTTGGAGATGGACTGGAACGTCTGGTTTCTGTCCCCGGGCCCGGCAGCTACGTCTTATTTTCTGTAGAAGGTGCCACAGTGAGACCTGGAGCCACCCCTTCCTGCCCTGGCGCCGTTTAGAGCTGGGAGCCTGTGGACTCCCGGCCTGTTTCTACCTTCTATTCAACCACTCTGACGTGGGGAGACAAGAATAGAACTTTTTGATAGTGTGGTAAAAACATTGATTTGAACTATTTTAGTAAAAGGAGTAAAAACAAGATTGTGATAGTGTCTACTTTGAGCTAGATAAATAAAGGCCTCTTTGTGAGCCTCCTGGCTGGGTGCTCAGTGCTTGTTTCCGTCACGGGTGGCAGGGTCAGCAGGCAGAGACAGGGCCAAGGCCCCTCAAGCACCTCAGATGGGGGCTCAGTCGGGGCCCCTTCCACAGACACAGCCCTGGCCCCTCAAGGTGGATGGTGAGGCCGCTGCTCCTCCAGCTGCCTCCGTCTCATTGCAGGCCAGAAGTGGAAAGGGTTTCAAACCCAAGCCTGTGTTCCTGTGTGTGTTCTATGCAGCAAGGCTTAAAAGTTTCCAGCTGGTTTGGAACTCAACCAGGTCCTCCAAAGGAAACCAAGGCAGGCAGAGGATGGGTGCAGGCTGGCTTGGCAGGCAAATGTGCCGATCCACCCAGAGTGCCCTGGGAGGCAGTGGGGTTGGCGCTGGCTCCTGTGAACTGCAGCCAGGCCTCTCCCGGTACCCAGGGTCCGGAAGGAGGGCTTCTACAAATTTTATCACCCAGGGACTGCGAAGGCCTGGAGCCCTACCTTCCACCCATTCACAAAGAAAGGGATAGTTTCAGAACTGCTTTTATTTGGATAACTGACTGAAGGAGTCTCATTTGTAACCAAGATGGAATTCACAGTATGTTGTTACATTCACACTTAAAAAATATATCTCTATGTACAGGAATTTGCAAATAGATGTAAACATACATTACTTTCCAAGTACATTTCTCCCCTTCTCCTTGGAGGAAAAAAAAAAGCCATCCAACGAGGCAACCCCTTCAAAATAATTTTAATACAAAGGATGCAAACATCTATAAATCAAAAATGTGGTTCTTCTGACCCTTCTGGGTGTCATGGGAGAGAACGTCATTGAATGAAAATGACAACAGCTTGACTTCAGATGGAATTTGACTATTTAAAATTGAGTTTCCAGGAAAAGTAGGCACTGATTTCTAGAAGGAAATTAACTCCTTACCGAAGCTATTTATTGAGCCAATATGGCTGGTTAACATCTTCACTAGTATAAAGTAACCCAGTGCAGGACTCTCAGACATTAGCTGAACCAAGTGTACACAGTCAGACTGCAAGGGCGCTGATGAGGCTACTCTGAAAGCTGGCTGTCCCCGTCCTCTAGATGTGAGGACCACCCTGATTTTATCCCAGGGGCCTGCTCCATTCTTCCCATACTGCAAACTGTCACGCATTATACAAGGTACCCTGCTGCTTACCCACTTCAACTACTCTGCAAGTCGATTAGAAAAACTTGTTAAAAAAAACAAAGGGGGAAAAAAAGGCTCACGTTATCTCATCCAGGCTGCCCGCCCCAGCCCCCCAACTGGAGGCATGCCAGGTGGGGGAATGGGCGGGGGCACAGGGGGCTGTCCTCCAGGGGGGACGGCAGGAGGTGGGTAGCTGGCTGGAGGCAGGCCCAAGCCTGGAGGAGGATGAGGGGGGACTGCGTGGGTAGGGGGCAGGCGTGGGGGTGGGGGTGGGAAGTTGGGGTTGTAGGTGGGTGGGGGTGGGGGGTAGCCAGGAGTAGGGGGCGGGATGGCAGGTGGGGGGAAGGAGGCTGGGGGAGGAGGCACAGGTGGCGGGGGCGGATTGGGTGGGTAGACATGGGGGTGGTAGGGCAGGTGTGCAGGTGGGCCGTATGCGGGGGGCAGGGCACCGTAGGAGGGTCCCTCGGTCTTCATCATGGACTGCAGGCTCTGGTAGCCCTCTCCAGACATGTAGGAGCTGGTGGTAGACATCCCAGTCATGTAGCTGGAGGGGGGCGGGGGCGGGGGCCGGTGTGGCAGCGGCGGTGGCTGGTGCACAGGGGCCGGGTGAGCCGGAGGAGGAATCTGGACTTTGGGGAGGTCAGTGGCATCCACAGGGCCCGGCGGCTCAGCCTCACCTAAGGCAGCAGCGAGGGGAGGCTTCCGGTCTGCAGGAGAGAGATGTGTTGGTGCCCAGCCTCTGCAAGCAATAGCTGCTTTTTCAGTGCCTCCTGGTCCTTCAGGGCCATCTTTACAGAGGAGCAGGGAGCAGCTGCCCCCTCCTCTGTGGCCCAACACATGGGCCCGTGCCCCATGTCCTGATGCCACCAGATGTCTCCCCACCATTTGTCAAAAAGGCCCTCCACCCTGTCTGCGACGAGCTGGGGTTTTCCCTCCCTCAGCCCTAACCACACCACCCGCAGGCAGTCTCGGCAGCACACGAAGCCCCCTTGTGCCCTGGCCCCAGCCCCCTCTTCCTAGTGTAAAACGTGTGGGGGCTCCTCTGTTTTTCTGCCTTCAGAAACTGACCCCAAGAGTCAGGGCCACACTGAACTCCTGTCTGCAGCAGTGGCATTTTGCAGAAAGCCTCAGAGTTGGTCAAATGAATGTGACGGCATTTAAAATAATTCTGTACAAGTCTCTGACATTCCCAATGTACCCATCGAAGCAGCAATTCAGGTTCTATTCTACTCAAGAGGGGCTAGATCAAACCCCACTGCGTACTCTCGGATAGCAGCCTCCTTGAGAGGAGTGTGTGCAGGCGTGCTGCGCGTGCGTGCTGTGTGCTGTGTGTGCATGCTTCGTGTGTGTGCATGCTTCGTGTGTGTGCATGCTGCGTGTGTGTGCATGCTGCCTGTGTGTGCATGATGCGTGTGTGTGCATGCTGCTGTGTGTTTGCAGCAGGGATAGGCGGCACTAGGTGTTGAGCACACCCAAGATACTTGTGCTCGGAACCAGCCTCAGGCCCCTCCCGCAGCGCCTCCCAGCCCATGAGCCCTCATGCCCCCTTCCGCCAAAGCCTTATTTAACACGTTTTGGCCTGTGATCTCTTGGTCACCATCAGACCCCTGGAAAATGGCGTCGGAACACCCCACCACAAGTAGCCAAACACACAGAATGAGTGTCCTTTCCTAAGGCAGCACAGGAGACAAACCATAGGCACAACATTTCTGGTTCCAGAGAACATAAAGAGGACAAAGGCCATGAAGATGCTTCTGGTTCCCCAGGCACTTGGGTTAGGGAAGGCAGAGCATGACATCCTGGTTGTGTAGACGTGGCCATTGGCACACAACCCGTTTGATCTTGCCAAAGCGAGCATGAGCAGGATTGATCGGGCTGGTAACAGGTGTGCCACTGGGGACCTGCCTGTGCAGATCAGCCCCCGCCAGCCACTGGGCAGGAAGGCCATATATGCCTGGCCTTAGAGAACTGGCTTTGGCTCCAGGTCAGGGCCAGATGCCCTGTGGTTCCAGAAGCTGACTAAAAAAGAGGTGCAGAAAAGCGCTGACACCCTTCAATGCCTCCTGTGTGTCACTCCACAGCCACCTGGGCCCACAGGCCTGCTCCTCTACCTTGCAGAAGCCAACTCTTCCAACACTCGACCCTGCAGCCTGAATCTTCAAGTCACCAGTGCACCCGCCCTTGTGCTGTGTGCCTGAGCTGGAACAGCAAGTGGGGGTCTATCCTCGGCACCCCATTCCCTCTGCACACTTGCTCCTGACCAAGTGCCATACACTGCCACCAAACCGCGCCCTAAACATCACTGCTGACCTGAACACCTCTTCCCATGGTCTAGGGCCTCCCAGGAAGCGTGCTTCCCTCCCTTCCTCGTGGCCCAGCTTTACTGCGCCTCCCAGGCCCTGCTCTCTTCAGCCATGGCCTCCTGGCAGTGTATCTGGTTCCCAGGTCCCACTCAAGTTCCAGGTCTACTCCTGGCTGTCTGTAATGGGGGAGGGAGCAGAGCTCTGAGGCCTCCACAGCAGCTACTCAGTGCCCTGGAGGCAGCAGCACCCCGCTGGCCGCCCCGGGCTCCCCAGGTGAACCATCCGTCTCCTCAGTGAAGGCACAGCCCCAGGCTTGGACCAGGGGAACTGTACTTGGTGAGGAGGTGCTCCTTAAATGCTTCATGAGCAGCCGCAAGCATTTTTTTAAGTAAAGTTCATATTGAATCGGGGGTTTTGGGATTTGGCCCAAAGTGGAAAATGACACCTCTGTTCTCCCAAAGCACAAACACTATCATGATTGAGTAAAAACAGAAATGTAATCTGTGGCACATCTGCTACGGGCACACGGTGCTGTGAGCCCCAGTGTGAGCCACGTGCACCAACCAACAGTGAGTGCAGCAGGCTGGAGGAGCTGCTGACAGAGGCTCGGAAGCCTCCGGAGTATTAACCATCTTTCGGAAAGAAAACACAGGTCACTCAGGCCTTCTCTAGTGTGTCACCTTCTGAAATGGTGCCACAGGTAAAGAATGCCATCTACTTTACAGCTTTTCTCTTCTATTTCCAGTGGTATCAGAGAGGCTTTCCAGCTTACCATGTACCTGTTGAGAACTTTTCACTCTTTCATTTACTCTGTACAATTGCTTATTCTTCAAAATGCATAAGATGACACACCACCAACAGGAAGCAGGTGTGGGGACGGCCAGAGCCTGGCAGCCACAGTAACCCTGCCTCCATCTGCATAAACGTTCAGTTGGCAGGGTTTGGCTTTCTTTCCTAAAACTGATTCTAATACAATGTGTAGTTTAGCATTTCTGGATGTGAGAGGTCAGAGAATATTCAGATATACTTAACAATTTACAACATTCTCAAAATACCTGGTCAAAATGAGAACTTGTTTTTGAGACAGGGCCTCCCTTTCACCCAGGCTGCAGTGCAGCGGTGCAATCATAGCTCACTTGACTGCCCAGGGCTCAAATGATAGTTGGGACTACAGGCCACCTGGCTAATTTTTTTGGACAGGGTCTCACTTCTTTGCCCAGGCTGACCTCGAACTCCTGGGGTCAGGTGATTCCCCTGCCTTAGCCTCCCAAAGGGCTGGGATCAAAGACACGAGCCATTGCGCCCGGCCCGAGAACAGTTTTGCAAAGATTCCTGCCCGTGGCTGACGCTGTCAATCTGGGCCCCACAGTCTTCCTTTTCTAAGCTCCCAGGACCTGCTGCATCCACTATTCAGCGGCGATGTGCACAGCTGGCCAAGCTGCTTCGGCAGATGCTTACCTGGAGGTGGGTGGGCTGGAGGCAACGGTGGGTGAGTGGTCTCAATTTTGGGAATTTTAGGTGGTGGTGGTTCTACGAAGAAAAAGCAGATTAGAAAACCACTCATACTTCTTCACATGAATAAGCATGTAATACGAAAAATGTACTGGCAGAGATTTCTTTGGAGAAAAACAACAGAGATGACCAAGGCTTTAAGGGAACTTGAGGAAGGTTTCAGCTAAACCATTATGCCTGAATCCTGTTAACAAATGAAATATCACCTCCCTCCAAAAGACCTGTGAGCTTCCCACAGGCAGCCCATTTTCCACATCTACCTAAGTTTCCTTGCTGACCACTTCACACAAGTCCTTCCAACCATGTGAGACCAGCAGAGCAACGTCTTCATGAGCACGTATGACCTGTCTGGAGTCCTCCCTGGTACAGAGGACACAAAGAAAGGTCCAGAGGAGCAACATCATGTCACTGAGTCCCCTGAGGGTTCACAAGAGGGTCTATCTTTTCATTCTTAGACATAGGTTATTTTCTCTCTCCCAAATACTGACTTCCAGTTGGCAGCACGTCAGAAGCAGCACATTAACTGGAGTCAGTAGAGCTCTGGAGGCTGACACGCTGATGGCAGAAGAATGTGCCGCTCATAAAAGCCCAGCAGTTGGGACCCCTTGAGGTGGAGGAAACAGCCCACCCTTCCGGGTCAGGCAGTGGCATGTAGCCAGAATCCACAATGACAGCACTAGGTCTCCAAGGCAGCCCAAGGGAAGTCCAATCTCTTCTGTTTAAGAAGGCAGCGTGCACATTGCAACTGAAAAAGAACCCTATTTTTCTGTTTGCATGTTG